AAATATATATAGTTATGTATTTGGGAAAAATCCCTAAGATAATCATCTTTCTCATATCCTTAACCTTTTTCTCTCCATATGTTACTATCATGCTTTCATGTAGTCATTTGTTCACTCATGCATTAATTTATTCATAAGATATTTATTGAGAACAATTATAAATAAAACATGGTAATAGGTTTGGTGGAAAATAGGAAGATGGGTTGATTCTTTTTCTCTCTGCCCCACCCCAACACCTCTCCCTACCACCCCCCAACCCCACCACAGGACTTAGCAACTACTTGGGAAGATAATACACTATACATAAATACCTATAAAGTAAGCAGTAATAAATATCACTGTAAAGGCACAGTTAAAGTTTTTGGGAGTTCAGAAAATGAAGAACATGCAGCTTTTGATAGTCATGGTGGAGGTATTGGCTTGCAGCTTTTGATAGGCAGTGAGGAAAGAGGGAGAATCCAAGAAGTCATTTTAGACTTTTAGAGGAAGAGCCAGCAGGCCTTAAATTATACGTGACATTTGGCTACGCTGACATTTTAGACAAAGGCATCCCAGGTAGAGGGAATATCATGAGTAAAGGCCTGAAGGTGGGAAAGCTGGACCTGTGTGTGGGTATTTAAATTCCCCTGGAGCATAGAGTAGGTGATGGAGAATAGTAGTAGATAAAGCTGGACAGGAAGGTTGGTTGTAGACATCAGCTGTTAGGGGCATTTGGCAAATTCAGCTGCAGCTCACAGTTGGGATTTTCAATAGAATAAGTTTGCTCAAATTGTTATGCTTTCTTCCAGGTTAGAAAACCCACCCAAGAAGCATATCAGAATGAATTAAAGATTGAAAGTGTAGAGCGTTCCTTCATTCTCTCAGCCAGGTAAACTTTTAAAAATTTATGTAGATGAATTTTTGTCAGTATAATAGGATCAGATATCACCAGCACTTTTTACATGTAGGTTAACAATTAGACTTTGTGTTTCTTCCTCCTTTTCTTTTCTAATATCATGCAGGTGGCTCTAGGTTTACCATGCAGGTAAATGGCTGAGAGCTGCTGCAATAGGGTATTAGCAGCACAAAGGTAAAAATGTTCCTGTGAAAGAACAGTAATGTTGAAAGTGCTTTGCTGATCATTTTTTAAGTGAATATTTCAAATTGTTTTAAAAAACAACTATTGCTTTGTGTTTACTTGGAAGCTTTCACAGATTATTTAAAAGTCATAACAAACGTATGAGGTAGGTGTCATCTCATACTAAAAATGAGGAAACTAAGTTACAGAAAAATTGGGTTGTTTTCTTAAAGATACAAAGCTGGCAAAGCCAGGATACAAATTAAGGTCTTTTGTTTTTAAATCCATTGTTTTTTATTTTTTTTGTTTTTGTTTTTGTTTTGAGATAGGGTCTTGCTTTGTTGCCCAGGCTAGAGTGCCGTGGCATCAGCGTAGCTCACAGCAACCTCAAACTCCTGGGCTTAAGCGATCCTCCTGCCTCAGCAGGAGGTCCCAGGTACCTAGGACTACAGGCATGCACCACCACGCCCGGCCTATCCATTGTTATTTATGATACCATCTTGCCTCAGACAGGAACCTGCAGTGACTTTCATGTAAATCAGAATATATTACCATAATGTAATTCAAGTGCTAAGGAAACCTGAAGCTGTATGACTCATACATTACTGAATTATTGGCTGAGTGTCAGAAGTGGTTATTTGGGAGGATTTGACTGGTGAAGGGGGAGACACCAAAAGTGAAAGTATGTTCCACTGCAAGATCTAGATAGTAAGTCCGTGTGGCTCTTCTCAAACTTAACCTTTGATATAATGAAAAATAGTACCAAATAGTTTTGTAATATTTACTGTATGCCAGATATTATCCTAAAGACTTTATTTATATTAATTCATTAAATCTTCACAGCAACCTTTTAAGGCAAGTCGCTATTATCATACCCATTCTATGGTGAGAAAAGTGACCCAGCTATTAAGTAGCAGAGCCAGGATTTGAACCCAGGCAGTCTGCTTCTAGCTGGGTCCATATCACTAAAATCAACTAGGATCTTAGTAGCAGAGTAGTAGTTGGAATCATTTATTACTCTGCATCAGGCGCAGTATTCAGTGTTTTATATTTATTTTCTCTTTTAAGTTCCATGATAAGTCGTGTGGGTTGGGTATTATCTCTATCTTCTGGATGAGAAAAATGGAGAGGTTCTTAGAGGTTAAACAGCACATCCAAAGTTACACAGGTAGTAGGCAATGGAGCTGTAATTTGAACATAGGTGTGTGTATCTGACAACCATTATAATTTTGCCTGTGTCTGTGAATGTCAAGGGCTCAGACCAAATGTCTGACTTCCCCAAATCAGAGGACCACAGAAATCCTCTCTGGGGCATGTCACTCCTCTGAAATGAAATGGCCACTGCTACCTGACATACAGGATGACAGAAGACAAATGCCTGTGTTCAGGGTTTGTCGAATGCTTCCCAACCACCAGTCAGGGCAAGCAAAATTCTGGGGGTACCTGAAGCATCCCCCAGATATCAATGTTTGATGAATGAAAGTAAAATCTTGATCACTTGGCACTGTGACTTTTTTTTTTTCTTTGAGGGGTAAGGGAGTTTGAACAAAAGTTCAAAGAATATCAAGTCCATGTAGATCAGGCTTCTGGCGAGTACTTGAGCTTGGTTCTTTAAATCAAGAAAGTTATTTTCAAAGGTCCAAAGAGGAAATGTGTATAGAAAGGTCCAGTTTTCAATTGTACTTATATGTAAAAATGGGCTTTGGTAAGAACAATATTCTATTTTATTACTAAAGGTTAAATAATTTGAGAAATTATAGTAAATCTTTGGTTGCCTGTCAGGTAAATACCTGGATGTCTATGTTTTTCCAGATGAGTACCAGACAGGTGTAATGAGCAGCTCTGATAGAGGTTTATATTTGTGTAACTTTGAAAGAGAATTTCTAACTAATTATGACTTAGTCTTTACTATTCTTATTCTTTTATCCTTTGGTTTTTTTTCTCTCTCCTTTTCTAATTTATAAACTTTTTTTTTGAGACTGTCTCCCTCTGTCACTCTAGCAAGAGTGCAGTGATGTCATTGTAGCTCACAGCAACCTCAAACTCCTAGGCTCAAGGGATCCTCCTGCCTTGACCTCCGAAGTAGCTGGGACTGCAGGCCCACGCCATGATGCCTGGCTAATTTTTCTATTTTTAGTAGAGACAGGGTCTCACTCTTGTTCAGGCTGGTCTCAAACTCCTGAGCTTAAGCAATCCTCCGGCCTCAGCCTCCTAGAATGCTAGGATTACAGGTGTGAGCCACCACACCTGGCCTCATTTGTCCTTAAATGCAACTTGCTATCCCTGCAGTTAGCCTTCTTTGTTTTTCCCTGTATGGTCACAGCCCCACATGTGCTCTGCTCTGTGTCAGCTGCTGAGGGGAAAAACGATCCTTTCTCTGTCAGTTTTACACTGATTTCTGTCTCACAGCTCCATCTCAAGGAAGTATTTTTTTCACAAGATGCTAAGAGACTTCAGAACAGGATGAAAAATCACAGTCTTGCCAAGAAGACACTAGAAAAGCAGAAAGTGTGCCTTTCATAAAAGAGACTCACGCAATAACAGAGGTGCAGAATTGGCTTTCATAAACACCAGCTTTCATAAAAATCACTTGTGTGGAGAAGAGTTGTGCCTTATTTCAGGGGTGGGCAGGAAGGCCGTATATAAACCATTTTATATCTTGTTCTTTGAATATGATATATGAATCCCTTTTGCTGTTTGCCTTTTTGATCCCCCAGTGGTTAGTCTGGTGCTCAGTGATGGGCACTGATTACTATCAGCAATCATTGCTGAGTCAGAGTAACTTTAGTGACGGGAGAGATTCATTGTTTGGAGACTGGCACATGGGCAGAAGCTGGGGAAGGGGGACTATCTAATGTCTGTCATCCATTCAACAAATATTTATTGAGCATCTACCCTGTGCCAGGTACTGTTCCAGGCGCTGGGGGTACAAAGTCCCTCACCTTAAGTAGCTTTGTTCTAAAGAGGGGGGATATACAATAATCAGGTAAAAAACAATTTGAGGTATTTTATGTTATGAAGAAAAATAAAGTAGACTGAGCACACAGAGAGTGATGGGGTGGGCTATTTTAATGGGGAGATCAGAAAAGTTCTCTCTGAGGAGAAGCAGAGACCAGAAAGAAGCTAATTCCAGGTGGAGGGAACAGAAAAAGAATAGGAAGGAGGCAGGAAGGAGTTTAGTATGTTAAACAAACCGCAAGAAGTCCAATGCCGGTGGAGCCTAGTGTTCCAGGGAAGGTTAAATGTGAGGTAAGGTGGGGGGCAGGGCAGGGATGTAGGGGCAGGTCCTATGAGATCCCCTAGACCTAAGTAAAGTCATTGGATTTTTAAGTGTGATAGGAAACCATCCGAGGGTTTTAAGCTGAGAATTGATATGGTCTTATTTATAGTTTTAAAAGATCACACGAGCTGCTTTATAAAAGACAGACCATCGAGGGACTAGAGCAGAAATTGGGAGAGCAGGTAGCAGGCTGTCAGTCAGTGATGGTGTCTTGGATTAGAGTGGTGAGAAGAGGTCAGAATGAGGCACAGCCATAGGATCACGGATAGGTTGAATGTGGGGTTTACAGGAGAAATCATAGAAAGTTCCCAATAAGGAAAAAGAAATTTCCAAGGGCAGATTAAGCCGGCATGAGGGAGAGGGAGGTAACACATATTGAATGCCACCAGTGTGCCATGGTCTCCTGAATTCCTCCACCACAGTGAGGCAGATCCTGTATCACAGGTTAAAAGGGGGTAGGTTTTGGCTGCAAGATGAAAAGAGAAATAAAATCTTAAAAAGAAAAAATGGGGGTGGGTGGTAAGAAGGCCTCTTGTAATCTGGTTTCTCTCTGCCTCACTGGCCTTATCCCCATTCACTCTCCCCACATGCCCAACACATCACATGTCCCATCAGCACAGATCTGCTTGTGACTCTCCATGTGTGCCAGCCTACTCCACATCCTTCTGCCTGGCACAGGCAACACCTCCACCTGGAGTTCATCCTTCGTTCGTTATGGAACATGCAGCCTCTATTTGGGCCAGGCATTGTGCTAGGCATCGGCACACAGTGGAGAATTAAAAGGGTCCTTCCTTCACCGAGCTTACATTCCACTGGGGAAGACATACTTAGCAAACATTAACACAAGTAAGTATGATTGTGATTAAGTGATACACAGGAAAAGTACCAGGTGCTATGAGGCTGTAAAGCAAAGGACCTTGAGCTAGACTGGGAGGGTGGAGAGGGCAGTCCGGGAAAGCTTCCCTAAAGACCTGCTGTGGATATGACTCATGAAAGATAAATAGCAGTTGGATAGCCAAACAAACAGGAAAGGAAGAACCTCCTGGGCATCAGCAGCGATGTGTACAAAGGTCATGAGGTGGAAGGGGGCATGGCACATTCAAGAACTGGAAGGCCAGCGTGGCATGAGCTCGTGAGTGAGCAGGAGATTGACCCAAAATAAGCCTGAAGAGACAGATGATACAGATTATGCAGAACCATCTTGTGGATTTTGGTCTTTAGCCTAAGAGCCGTAAGAAGTCACTGAAAGGCTTATTTATACAAGGGAGTGATGTGTGATGTGATCAGATTGGCATTTTTAAAGATATGGCTGCAATGTGGACTAAGACTTGGGAGCTGGACTGAAGGAGGTGGTTAACTGGAGGTAGGGGATGAGAGGGACGTTCTTCGGAGTGAGTCTCGAGCCTGCACGGTGTCCTGGGTTGTGGTGCCATGCACGTGGTAGGGAGCACTGGGAGAAGAGCAGCTTTGGGGGAGAAATCAGAGATTTGTTTCAGACGTGTATACTGAAGTACCTGTGAAACATCCAAAT